CTTTTAGGTAAAGTAGTATCAATATCCTACATTAACTGGTATTAGAGCTGAAGGTCTCAAGTTCAAGTCGATACTAGAGCTATCTTTTGGAGTGATTGGATAATGCATGAGTATTCTTGAAAGGGGGGTGAGACCGAACAAAGTGAGTTTGGGGGTGGATTCCCAATTAGATTCTGAGTGATATACAACGGATTCTATTAGTGTTGTGAGTTACGGTTTTTTGGCAAAGTGATGACAATAGCCCATATCAAGCTGTGTCAAGAACATCGTGACATAGTCACTATTTGTTTGTTTTTTTCACTTTCTTTGTCATTATTATGCTTTTTTTTTAATGTCTAATTCTTGTATTTTGGAAGAAAATTTATGTTCAAAATGCAATATTTTCAGGGAGAAGGTAAATATACCACCATTTAAATCATTTATAACAATACAAGGTGCAGGAGCAGACAAAACAATTGTTCAATGGGGTGATACAGCTCAAACACCAGGGCCAAATGGGCACGCTCTTGGTACATATGGCTCTGCAACTTTTGCTGTCAATTCTCCCTACTTCGTAGCCAAGAATATTACATTTAAGGTCAGACAAACCATCTCATTTAAAAACTAAAACGATTAGTCGAAGATACGTTTTTCTTTTCAAATTTAGTCCTAAACAGGAGAAACACTTGGATAGGATGGTGACACCGTCCTTCTTGGTGTGACTGTCCAATGAACTGCCGTCACCTCGTCGGATGACCCAACTTCACCCAATGAGGTGAGGCCGCCTCGGGGTCATCCGACGAGGTGGTAGGTCCCGAGGCGGCCTCACCTCATTCGGTGAAGCTAGGCCATCCGACGAGGTAGCGGCTCCTCATTGGATAGTTGCACCACATATGATGGTACGACCAACCTACCCAAGTATCTCTCCCTAAACAGCCCCTTATTACAACCCGAGCTCATTTGTTTTTATTCTTTTATCAAATGTCTAATACGTTCAGAACACAACGCCAGTGCCAGCACCAGGAGCTATTGGAAAGCAAGCAGTGGCATTTAGAATATCAGCAGATACAGCAGCATTTATGGGTTGTAAGTTCTTGGGTGCACAGGACACTCTTTATGATCATTTGGGTAGGCATTATTACAAAGATTGCTATATTGAGGGCTCTGTGGACTTCATCTTTGGAAATGCCCTCTCCTATTTTGAGGTAAATTTTCAACTTTTTTTTGAAAACAAAAAAGTAATTAATATGCTTTGGCTTCAATAATTACAAGATTTTTTTAGTTAGAAGTGTGAGATAAAAATAGATTGTTAAATTTGCTTGTTTTCGGTACCTCTATAGACGCGAAAATCGAGTTTCGAACTCTGATGGACACGTGTTGAATCCGAGGAGCATAAAATGACCTTGCCTACCAATCGTTTTCACTGTCTATTTCTGAACATTAGGGGTTTAAAACCATCAAGACAAATCACATGTGACACAAGTATGTAGAGGACTAATAGACAAACTATAGAAGGTTGTTCAAGAAATTTGGTTTGTGTAATGTCATCAGGGGATCCAGCACCCGGCGAGCACCGACAACCACCCCATCCTGGATCAGCCCGAATTTTTTTCCCCTTATATTGGGCACCGTCTATGCTCACCTCTCATCCTAGATCTGCTAGTGTGTGTGTGTAATGTTCTATCATCTCATCATTAATAAGCTGAATTACATGATACTCGACATCTAAACTTAAAAAAAAATAAAAATAAAAATAAAAAAACCTATGACTTTTTAGTCTTATCGAGTCTTTTTTGTTATGCAGAATTGTCAGTTGCATGCAATAGCACCAGTAATAGGGGCGTTGACAGCACAAGGGAGAAGCAGTATATTGGATGACACTGGGTTCTCATTTGTGAAATGTAAGGTCACGGGTTCAGGGGCTTTATACCTTGGAAGGGCATGGGGTCCTTTTTCAAGAGTGGTATTTGCATATACATATATGGACAACATTATAATTCCAAAGGGCTGGTATAACTGGGGTGATCCCTCTAGAGAAATGTAAGTTCTTTCTTTTTCTAACTTTCACCTACCTACCTACAAACCCAACCCACCCACACATTTACAAATGTTAGCATGTGATCTCATCATAGTTCACACATTCAAGATCCCAAAGAAAACAATATTTACGTTTTTGTTGTAAATATAGATATATGTGGAGATTAAAATCAGATTTTAATAGAAGTTCAAGAAATAGGTGGTTAATATGGTTGAATCAGATTTCGGATCAATTGTGGATCGCATTAAATATGTGATTAAAATTAATTGTCGAATTTGACTTTGATAAAAATTTAGACTTTAATATCTATCAACAAGGGCACAGTATTTGCTGAGGAAATTACTTATTAGAAATATGTTTGTTTATCCGACAAGGTACTCATCTTTCTTAATTGTCAAAATAAGTAACACATTCCTTACAAACAATATCAACCTAGAGGTCATTTTTCATTTAAACATAAAAATATTTTTTTCCAGTTCACCAAAAATTTGACACTTCAGAATTATAGTAAGACGTCAAAATTTTACAACAGTTCTGAACTCTTTGTCACGAAAGTCCATATATATTGAATGCTTAGATCCAAACATGTACAGTTTAAAAGAACATGTATTGACTTGGAAAGTGCATAATTTCTTTATTGGAAATTGAAGCATCGGTCCTCAACTTATTTTTTGAACTCCTTACTGCCCACCAACCTTTACAAATTGAGCGAAGTTAGTTTTCAACCTTTTATTATAGTTGCACAATCAATATAAAAAGCATATTAAGTTATGTTAAGTTGGCACGTGCTCAAACCAGCCAAATTTGGGAAATAAACTTCATAAAGTTGGACGTGTAAAAAGACATCTGACCTTACATATGACTACTTAACAAAAAATTTCGACAGTTTTTGCCATAAGGATCATTAATTCTCAAACTCTAATGAAAAGTTCAATATCAACTTGCTCATTTTTAAAGATTGACGACCAACTTACCGGGCATGGGACGGCGCCATCGCCTTTCCACTCTTCGCCCTCCACATGTAGACGAGTGTATGTACCTATAATTCTATCTTTTTCTTAATGACTAAAAGCACTAACTCCTCTTTCACCATTATGTATACCATTTATATAAAGGGACAATCATATATGTATCCACTCACAGAATCTTATATTAGTGTGAATGACTATAAACCCATTTATGAATGTCCATTGTTTTTGTCTCATGTAACTAATCTACCTGTAATGCACCATTATACCCACAAGTGCTGTTAATTAATCTGTCTTGATTTTGGTGGCATTTTTCAGGACTGTGTTTTATGGACAATACAAATGCAGTGGACCAGGGGCCAGATTTGCAGGAAGAGTTTCATGGTCAAGAGAGCTTACTGATGAAGAAGCTAAGCCTTTTATTTCACTTAGCTTTATTGATGGTTCTGAATGGATCGAATTATGATATTTGTAAAACCCATATTTCCTGGTAAGTTGTTGGATGCCCTACGGTACAAAAATAAAGATAGGGAAAGAAAAAATAATCTACTATTTATAAGTTTTCTTATTATAAATCTTGGACATATGGTTATTGATATCGAGTTATGTTAGACGTGTCAAGATGAATGGATCGACCTGATCAACCTATCTACATACGAATCAGATTCAAGTCCATTTTGGGCTTGAATTGGGCCTTCTAAAAATACGATCGTGACACCTAGCTCAATCGGCATCCAAATCTAAAACTGGACATCCCCACAAACCTACTAAAATTTGGACAAATCCAGCCATCATGTTATTTTTCCTCCTTGGGAAATTTAATGTGACTTAAAATTGAATCACAATTAAAAATTAAATAAAATTTATATTATTTAATTATCTGTTGAATATTAAAACAAAAAACTTATAAGTAGAGTTTACTAATAATAAGAGATGCATCATTATGGTTTTTAGTATATTCTAAGTTGGCGAGACATTGTGTAGAAAATGTAGAACAAAAGATAGTATTTATAGCACGATAGGGATGTAAACGAGTCAAGCCGAGTCGGCTCGCGAGCCTAAAGTTTCGGCTCGAATTTGGCCCAGTTAAAATGGCCGAGCTTTTTTGCGGGCTGAGTCGGGTTGAGCAAAAAAAAGGCTAGGCCCGAGCTTTTTCTGGGCCGAGCTGGGTAGGCTCGCTCTATTTATTATTATTTTTTTCCTTAACTGCCTTGAAGGCAGCCTCAAATTTTTAAAAATTTTTTTTTTTTTAAAAGCTCACGAGCTCACAGGCCGGCTCGAGCAAAGCCCTTGTCCCCAAAATGGGGCTTGGCCCGAGCCTAGGCTAGGTAGAGGTCTACCGAGCCCCGAGCTGAGTCACGGGCGGTCCGAGCCGACGAGCCCGATTGCCATCCCTAGATAGTATTTATAGCACGATAGGGATGTAAACGAGCCGGGCCGAGTCAGCTCACGAGCCTAAAGTTTCGGCTCGGGTTTGGCCCAGTTAAAATGACCAAGCTTTTTTGCGGGCTGAGCCGGGTCGAGCAAAAAAAAGGCTCGGCCAGAGCTTTTTTTGGGCCCCCGGCTCGCTTTTTTTTTTTTTTTCTTAACAGCCTTGAAGGCAGCCTCAAATTTTTTTAATTTTTTTTTTTAAAAGCTCACGAGCTCACAGGCCGGCTCGAGCAAAGCCCGTGTCCCCAAAATGGGGCTCGGCCCGAGCCTAGGCTCGGTAGAGGTCTACCGAGCCCTGAGCCGAGTCACGGGCGGCCTGAGCCGGCGAGCTCGATTGCCATCCCACGATGACTCTTATAATATTATTTTATTTCAATTTTTTAATAAATTTTATTATGGCAGGCCAAGCCGTAAATCGGTTCAATATATGGGCTGCATGGCTCATTTTGACATCACTAAGTTACCCTTCAAAAAACAAACAAAATTATTGAAACATTCACGTCTTAGAGGTAAAATATAAATTGGAAAAAAAAAATGTTACTCAACAAATATTTGCATGTAGCTTTATTAGTAAAAATTATGACTCAGTAAGTTTCAACTATTTTTTCTTTGGAAAAATCAGTATAGTATCCCCTCCCAACTTGGAGACCCTCTTCCTTGGCAAGCTGCTCAATTTGAACTTGAACTTGACTGCCACCAACTCTACTTGGTTCTAGCAAATTGCAGGCTACCTCAATTATAGCTTCACCATGAGCAATTGCCATAGATTGTACTGAATGGAGTCCACCCCACCTACTACTCACTCTCTTTGCAATTTTACAAACTGCTGTCATGTCATTAGAGAATATCGGTACATTGTAGTTGTCAACCCATGGGGTTGCTCCAATTACAACACCAACCTTGCCTTGAATTGCTCGAGGAGGTCCCCACCCACACATTTACAAATGTTATCATGTGATCTCATCTTAGTTCACACATTCAATATCCCAAAGATTATTGATGAAATTACTTATTGGGAAATATGTTTATTTACCCGACTAGGTACTCGTCTTTCTTAACTCTCAAAATAAGTAAGCGATCAAATCTACAATTTTTGACCATTAAACATTGAATAGTAAAAAATTATAGGCTTATCTGCTGACGTGACTGGACATGTTTTATCCTACCTACTATGGATAAAAGATCATTTCTATGATAAAAAGTGTCTTAATTTTTGATAAGTTTGGCACGTTCTTAAACTAGCCAAAGTCTGGAAACAATAGTAAACTTCATAAAGTTGGACGTGCAAAGGATATCTGACCTTGCATATGACTATTTAACACAAGATTTTGACCCTTTTTGCCGTAGGGATTATTAATTCTCAAACTGTAATGAAAAGTTCAACTTAATCTTGCTCATTTTTAAAGATTGACGACCAACTCACTGCTACTTAATTTTCATTTTGGGCATGGGACGGTGCAGTCCCCTTTCCATTCTTCACCCTCCACATGTAGATGAGTGTTTGTACCTATAACTCTTTATCTTTTTCTTAATGACTAAAAGCACTAACTCCTCCTCTTTCACCCCTATATATACCCTTTGTATAAAGGGACAATCATATATATATATATATATATACTCACAGAATCTTGTATTAGTGTGAATGACTCTAAACCATTTATGAATGTCCATTGATTTTGTCTCATGTAACTAATCTACCTGTAATCCACCATTATACTTATAACTAACTAATTTTGGCCTTAATGTTGTCACTTCGCTATATTTAATGTTGTTAATATGTCTTGATTTTGGTGGCATTTCCCGGACTGTGTTTTATGACCAGAGGCCAGATTTGCAGGAAGAGTTTCATGGTCAAGAAAACTTACTGATGAAGAAGCTAAGCCTTTTATTTCACTTAGCTTTATTGATGGTTCTGAATGGATCAAATTAAGATTTTTCGTAAAATCCGTTTTTCTTGATAACTTGTTGGATGCCCTACGGTACAAAAATTAAGATAGGGAAAGAAAAAATAATCTAGTATTTATAAGTTTTCTTATTATAAATCTTGGACATATGGTTATTGATATTGAGTTATGTTTGAGGTGTCAAGATGAATGGGTCGACTTGATCAACCTATCTATATACGAACCAGATTCAAGTCCATTTTGTGCTTGAACTGGTCCATCTAAAAATACGGTCTTTACGCCTAGCCCAATCGCCATTCAAATCTAAGACTGCACCTACCCACAACCCACTACAATTTTGACAAATCCAGCCATCATGTTATTTTTCCTCTTTGGGAAATTTAATGTGACTTAAATTGAATCACAATTAAAAGTTAAATAAAATTCATATTATTAAATTATTTATTGAATATTAAAACAAAAAACTTATAAGTAGAGTTTAATAATAATAATAAATGCATCATTAGAGTTTTTAATGCATTCGAAGTTGGCTAGACATTGTGTAGAAAATGTAAAACAAAAGGTAGTATTTACAACCACGACAACTCATCTAATTTTATTTTGTTTCAATTTTTTAATGAATTAGGCTAGATGGGTCATCGACCGACAATCAAACCTGGCATGGCCATTCATTATGGCTGGCCAAGCCGTAAATCGGTTCAATACAAGGGCTGCATGGCTCATTTTGACACCACTAAGTTACCGTTTTTAAAAACAAACAAAATTATTAAAAGTGTAATGCCATTCATAGGTCATTCATTGCGGTAGGCGCCCCACATAACATTGTACATAGCGATTTGTGATTTGATCTATTAATATAGTAGGGTTTTTCCCCCATTTTTTTTTTTTTTTTTTTTTT